ACGGAGGGGTGACGCGATGGACGTGTTGGGAATGACGATCCGTGGAAGGTTTTTATCCCAAGGTTGCCGCCGGAAGACGATCCAAAACGACGTCGAGTTAATAATATTATATATAAGTGAATTTTCCGTCCTACGTATATTCTCCGTCCCGCCGACCGTCATCCCCCAGACATTCCCTGCCCGGCGTTCGCGCGGTTATCGCCGAGAATTATAAAATATTATTAAAATATATATACCTTAGACGCGTCACGCGTATTTCCGCGTCAGTTGTTTGTCGACGATAATATTCACAGCAGGCTACCGAGGCAGTAAAAAAATAATAAGTCGACGTCCGTTTGTTATATCCGAGAAATGTTCCTTTCTGTTCCGGTCTGGTGTGAATACGATAGGATTTTTTGCATTTCATTCGTCGTTATAAATATATACGCGAGCTTATCCGATTTTTCCGACTTGGAGTGCTAATTATTTCTAAGCTCCATTTTTGGATTTTCACGTGTCGACCCCCGACATATCGACGAGAATAGATATCTGGGTCGTACACTTCTATTGGAAAAATCGATGTTAAGACTGTTTGAAAGATCGTTTGTTTTCGCAAGATGGAGGAAAAATGATTTCATTATTATTACGTGATGTGATTTTTCCAACTGGATCCCATGAACCCATGTGAACACAAGTAAACAAATTTTCAAAGGACTGTGCACATTTCGTAAACTCCCTTACGTGTATTCCTGCAATACTCACGTTGTTATATCATGTTTATGGAACGAAATTTGAATATTGTCCTTATATTTATTATATGCCACAGTGAATTCATACGTTTTCATAAAATAAAAAAAAACTTATCTTAAATAAAGAAAAATATGTTTTTTACAGTACGATATTTTATACAGTCTTCGGTGTAGGTAGATGCTCACGAGTTTGCATGACAACAACAAAATAATAATATATTTTGGTAATATTTTGCGGCGGAAACCGAAATCTATAAATCCACTATGTATGCAAATTTGTGTAAACACCATTTTTCTCCTAAAATGATCTACAAATATTCATACTAAAAAAAAAATGAAAAAGACGGCTCACAATCTAAATGTATTACTTTTCCAAATATTCTATAGAGTATATCACACATTTGTTTCCTTCACTTTATCTACACGCACAAGTTTATGCGGTAACGGGTTAAATAATTATAACCAACGTGTACATTAATTTAGACATTATTAATACATAAACAATGAATTATATTTCGTGGAATCCAATGAGGTTGCCGAATAATAATTATAATAGATTATTACTTCATGATTATTATATTGTGCTTTGTAGAACTTTAAATTAAATTCTACAGAATTAAATTGCTGTGACCTTTAATCTATGCATAAGATGATATTTATCTTTGTAAAATAGTGAATTAATTTTTTTTTTTTTTTAATTAAATTCCTATATTTAATTATTCAAGAACATAAATCTTAAAATAAATATCATGATTTTAAAAAAATATACATGTACATATTCATTACGTAAACATATTTTCCGAGAATAAGATGAATGGAAATTAATTATCTCCAAAATAGTAAAAAAAAAACTGAAATGTATTTCCCAAAATATCTTGTACAGTTGTACGATTTTGAGTAATATTAATAGAATTTAACGTAGGTATACTTCGCTTGCGTCCATATTATACAATTATATTATAATATAGGTTAGTCTACACCTATAAAACAGTTTTACCTATAGTGAATAAATATAAAATCATTATTTTTTTTTATTAATACTTTTCGTGCGTTATGAACTCAATAAATGAATCAGTATATTAAAAAAGAATTTTCACCGCGGGGGCTTTATTAATTTTTAATCCGGTTAAAGCTCAAATGGTGCTAAAAATGGACAGGATTAATGTTTGTAGGTAGGTGGGTACATATAAATACAGTGGAATAAACACAACATTAAATTGGATATTGACACTTAAACTATTCAAATCAATAGAAAATAGGTCAAACCACAGCAGGGTTTACTCGGTAAAAATCTTACAAACGACCGATACACGACCCGTTTCATATTAAATCGCAGAACTTTGTACGGTGCGAATAATGACAATAACAAACAAACCAACGTCAGTAACAACGCCATAATTCACCGGCACGGAAACATTATTTCTTCCACACCATACAATTACGACGATACAATGAATACATAATAGAAAAAAGTACTTGATATTATGTTATTGCTAGTATACTTATTAGTTATTAGTTTATTACACATAAAGGTGTTGTTTAGAGTTAAAACGTCGTTCTAGAAATTTGACTGTGCGCACGGAGGTACACCCTATATATCATACTATATGCAGCTTTACCTATTGACCTACATCACCGGCATACTTTAAACAAAATATTGTTAAATGTATAATATAATAGATAATACACATTTATTGACATAGACACTGAGTGTATGTATATAATAATATCTACATATATAAATCGTGTATATGCATAGACGACTCCTACAAAAGCGAGCTCGTAAACTATCGCAATTATGTTAAACTTGAAAAACTTTCCTGGGGCACGTAACTTCAACGGTAGTGCAGGTCAATAATTTCCTGTCCTATGATACGATCTATCAAGGTGAGCGGAGAGTGTTTAGCAAGTTGATAATATTACAATACGTATTATGTTATATGATAAAATAACTAAAGTTCAGGGCATTGTGATCGTTGATATAGTGTATTTATCCATAGGTTCTGTTTAGAAATTTCAAATCGGGTCATTTGTCCATTCGATTTGTTCGGAAAGCACTTTTATATCATATGTATATAAAGAATTTGTTTAAATGTTTCAATACTGTGACATATGTTGTAAATATACTTTAGTGTAGAGCACTTAACAGACAACTCTATACCATTTTGGATTATTCTATCTCAATAAAAACAAAATACAACCAAATATTCAGAATGAAATATATGCATTGTACCATACTTATAGGAAACACATATCATACGGTCGGTTAATGTGAGCTTATAATCAATTTATAGTATTATAAATTAGAGTAAAAAAATATATAAATCCTAAACACAAGACAAGCTATATGTTTAAGATGTTCCATTATTTCTGTTTGTGATAAGGATAACACACCACAACTGATTATAACTATTATGTTCATAGTTAAAATCGTGCAGCACAACAAAACCATCGATGTATTTATAAACGGCTATATAATATTAACCGTCTAGACTCTAGACGCATTCATTATTTATTTATTTTTTGTTCGTTAAATAAACTGTAGTGCCATTTCTGCAAGGACAAACAGTTTGTTCTCATTAAAATCTAGAATTTACTTTCGTAGCATTACGCGAATTGTATCTAAAAAACAAAGCGTGACGTTCCTGCACCGAGAAGACATTAGGTGTGCATGAAAAACTCAAATGGTGTGTAATATAAATTTTATATTGCACCCTTTCCTCAGCATAAGCGTTCCACAGACACTCGGTAGAGAGAATTAAAAATATATACATATTTTTTTTTTGAAACCGCGTGAATAAGAAAATTCTTTAGTATGATTTTATGCCGTAATGGCCGCGGAACTAAAAATGGAATACATTTTAAAATATATACATTAAAGTTTCGTTGTGAATACATTTCAAGTACCTACTGCTTGTGCGTATGTGTGTAGAATTTTACTTTAACTCTATTTCAAATACTTGTACAAATCTTATTCGTCGCGTTTTTCAAATGGTGACGACGACGTTTTTCTAATAATTTAATTTAATACATCAATGACGAAGGGTTTTCGACTGCACAAGACTTTAATAATGATTACCTAACGATATTTTAATGTTAATATAATACATAGTATTAGAATAATTTATAACTATACTATAATAAATGATAATGGATCGATAATTTAAAGGTTTGTCATAGGTATAGTAAGTACTTCGTTATTATGCATTTGCAATATTATTAATGTAATAATCGAATACTATTAAACCTTTACAACTTAATTGTATTCGAATTAATTATATTTTAATTAGATAATTATAGGTATTCAAAGATATTATGTGGAAAAAAAGTAATTATTAAATTAATTATGATTTCACAATAAGTACTAATTGTATAATCGTATGTTGAAATTAAAAATAATCAACTACCTACTATGTTTGGTAGGTAACTGTTTTGTAAGGGCATCTCATCCCAAAAATAAACGAAATAGTTATTTTTTTTGCATGGCTCATTAAATTTCAGCTTTAAGTTTAGAAAAAGGTATTAAAAGATAGTTAAATATATATATATATATATATTAATTACTCTTCTATATATGATTCTTTTCTATTAATACTTAAACTTAAACTATTAATGAACTTACTAAACTTTAAATTGCATCACCTTTATAGTTTAATAAATCAAATTTTATGATTCAACCATAACAACTTTTAAAATAACACAGAATCGTTTTCCTTATACAATGATATTATATCATTGAATTCAAATTTAACACCATTATCCATTACAGTGGCCCGACGGAAACTATAGTGGATAATTGTGCAAGTCCTAATCTCAGCTTTGACATTGGCTTGGTGAGCACGGAAATTATGACGCCCAGTCCTGCCGAAGTCAATATGGATCCGTCTAGTCGGCATCTTCCACGTCGACGTCTTCCGAATATTTTGAATCCGGCTATTCGCGGCCGTTCGCATCTTTGCCGTCCGTTTCGGCACCGGAGCAGCTGGTTCGAGCGTCCGACAGTAGTTCGCTGTCTTGGTCGTCCGAAAGTTTGGTGCCCGTACTTTCACAGTGCGACTATTCGCCATTTGTAAATTTGACGCCAGTCTCGTCGACATCCGTCACGTCGTCGACATCCGTCACGTCGTCGTCGTCGTCCGAATATTTTGTGTCCGACTATTCGCGGCCGTTCGTATCTTCGCCGTCCGTCTCGGCACCGCAGCAGCTGGTTCAGGCGTTCGTCTCGTCGTGGGCCGCGATTTGACGGATCCACCGAGATGGCGTACGAGTTCGATGCCGAAGTTGCCGAACATCCACGTTTGGTTTTGTAGAAAGGGGCCTTCACGAGAATTGAGTGAGTCGTCCGAGTCGGGAAACGTCTGTGCGATAACTAACTGGAAGATAGAGGTGCACTCCACGAGTTCACGACGGTTTGATAAGACAGAACCGGTAACAGAGGACGTGGCTAAACCCAAGCGCAAGACGATATGGAAGAGGACAAAGAAGAAGACGCTTGTTATGTTGCGCTTGACGTTGGTATGATCCCTCTTACTTTTGAACTGTCACCGCTCGCCATATTATTATCGTTATAAAATATACATTTTGTAAATAAAAACTAGGGGTAGCGTTTCATTGGCCAACAGAATTCACCAATAAAATAAGTTTAGAAAATAAAGCTGAAATTTATATCATGTAAATAAAATATAATAATATATATGTATATTATAGATTACAAATAACTATTTACATATTATTAATAATAATTATAAAGCATATTATAATTTAATATTTTATTTATCACTGCCTATATGTATAGTAATTCACTTAAAAAAATAACAAAAACAAAATATTATAAACAAAATATTAAAACACGAGATTACTTATTCTTATATCAGACTAACATTTGTGTTCCTAACTAAATGTAATTGTTGAATGTAATACTATACCGTATTTTGTGTGAATTGCGTTTATATAAGTGAAACAAATTGTCAAAACAAAATATGTTAATACGAGTAAAAATACTGTAAAATAAGTTAGGTATATTACTTATAAATTACCAAAGAAAGATAATCTATTTGAAAGTTAATAAAATAAATCATAAATTAGTTTTTACACTAATATTTACACTAAAATACAGCCGATTTTCAGTTTATATCATATATTTGCACCAAGCTTTTGTAACCCAAGACTACTTTTTTAACTGTCTTTCAAAAATAATTAACAGATATCTCGGCTACGTCGATAAAATACTACCACATTTATAATTTTAAAATTTAAATTCAACATCTTTTTTTACCAAAAAAAATAATAAAATCATCTAATTTAACATTGGTAACAAATACAATATAAGTGTTATATATAGCATTTTGCGTAGGTATATGCAAATACATGCGCGATCCAAAACATCTTAATATTCACAATTTCGATATTCAACACCGCTGCAGTAGGTCATCTATGCGGGATAGATATTATTATAACGACGCATAAGGTGTTCATATATAATATTCAAATCCGATAGCAAAGTTTATAAGGGCGTATATATTTTTATCTGATGTAGACAATATATACGTATAAAACCGATCACCATAAAACCGTGTCTGTACGGATCGAGTATTACACACAACGATAATAATATAATATGACATGTATATTGTCCCAATCGGGTCGGTTTCTACCCCGAAATAATAATATGAATACATTATTTATTATTATTATAAATCTGAATGAGAGCGAATGTATAATAATAGTAATGATATCATAACCCTTACGAAACAAGGCGTTTTTGTAAACTATCCAAAAGGTTTTATAGGAGATTGGAACGATTTTTTTTCTACTGGATAACAATTTAACGGCGTACAAGATTTTTCGCCGTGAAAAACGATCGTTGAAATTATTTGACCCTTATACGAGGGCCGGAATTCGAGATTACGATTTAACAGCGTAGAGGCCCCCCAAGAGTGGGAAGGATGAAAAGCGTCCTTATAAACTTAGCCACGTCGACCCAAATCGAGACTGTGCCATAGAGGCGTCTTTTCAACATCGATAATACATTACGTCATAGACACAACACAATAGATTTAGTCAATTAGTTATAACTTATAACTTAATACTTAAAAGTATTATTTAATGTTTTGATGAGTAAAGTAGACGATAGACATTTTAGGGGGGGGGGTATAAGTTCACTTATATACCGATACCCATACTTTCCTAGTTGACCAAGTTATCAATTTTTTTTTTATGAAAAATAGTAGCTCAATATCAAGTAGGTTACCTAAGGGAATAAAACCTTAAATTAGTGGAATTAATGGATTAATATTAACTACAGTACTTCGTGGTGGAATCGATGAAATCCCCTTGGTGTCTTGTTATGATTCATGAAATATTTCAAGGGTATAATATTATATTTCATGCAATTTTAAACCTTACGAGAACCTACGTATTGTAAATGCGACGAAAAGAGACAATAATATTTTTATAATGTCGAAGAATATTGGAGAAACGCGTAACTTGCAGTTTGAGTATAAGTATATTATTATTTATTATATAAGTGCGTTTTATTCAGCCGGGCATTGGTCCAATAAAAATATTTCTCGTAAAGCGCACTATTAGCGTTTTCAGTCCTTGTTGACGTCATTGCTCTTTCTATGTAGGTACAGGGTATTTCTACAACGAATACCATCATGAAGATGTATACGATATAATATAGGATATATATCCTACACCTTCTCGTAGTGAAGGGGTCCATAAACAAAATGTTCAGTATGTTTTTCCTAATGGTGTAATCATTGAAGAATCACCCTGGATATAATGCATAAAGGTAATATATTACATTCACGTATTTTTACAGCCTATTATCTTCTATCTACTTATCCACGACCACACGACTTCCGTATAATAATAATTAGTAAAAACACCGGCCGTGAAGTTACTGATCGTCTATATAGAACTCTAGAACACTGTATACATTTAAGTATAATATATTATGCTAGTACACGGCAGTAATATAATATTATTATCATTATAATCAAAGGAGATCGGATGCATGGAATAAATACAAAAACTTGTTTTCGATTCGAATCAAAAGATAACGAATTTGTTGATATAGGTACGTTTGAATTTGGACCTCGAGTAGAACACTAACGTAGGTAACTAATAATAATACGTATTTGATTTTTAATGATTACCATCATCGGAATATAATAAAATACAATAAATAATAATCGATAAGGATGACACGCATAATTTAATCATGATAACGTCGGTCTGATCGCAATGAATCTGCTGAATATTTCAAACTGGCTTTTAGATATTTTACAATAGGGCTTTGCGCATGCGTATTGTCCGTGATGCATAGTTGAATCAAATAATAATAATATGTGGCAAGCCAATATTTCGTTCGATACCGATGTGATAAACTGCTGACATATTGACTATAATATATTTTGCATACCTACGTAATAATTTTTTTTCTACCTATACAAGTTAAATCATACAATCTAGCGAATCTGCATATTATAATATATATAACATATTATGTTGTGCAATAATTATAAGTTATGCATTAAACATAGGTAATTACATTTTTGTAAAAGTATAGAGAAGGAAGAGTCCATTCTACATATTGAATTTTTATCGTACTTAAAATATTGAGTGTTTTGATTTTATCGGATATTAGGGGGAAATTATTCGAGCGGCGTTATCATTATCAGGAAATTTTACAAAATATTTAATATATAATATAATCTTATTTACCTAAACCTAATATAATATATAATATTTGCTCGATACACATTTTATACGGACAACTGCAGAAATGTTACATTTTAATGTTTTAATATATTCTATAGGTATTAGGTATCCATCCGTTAGTATAAGAACATAATATAATGTAGTGATTTTGTTTGTTGTGTCCAGGCATAAGAAGATAGAAGATATTATATTTTATTGACATTAGTAATGCTTTATACTATTTAGTATTTACTATTAATTAGTGTCGTCGCTCATTAATCATTAGAGTACATGATCATATAGACTATACGTTATTATGGCCAAGTATTGTGTCATAACTATTCATGTGCAACTAGCCGCACTTAAATCATAAATCGAACTTATATTCAGCAGTATTAATACACGTCTAGTGCAGCGGTTCCCAAACTTTATTTTATTCAAGCCTCCCTAATAAAAGAAAAATCATTCGACCCCCTTCCCCCGCAATTCACAAAGACACTATTATAAAATAAAATATGTTACAAATTGTTTAACTTTTAATAATTTATTATTTGTATATTTAAACTTTTGTAACAAAATTATCGGTGGATAACGTATTTAATTGTATAATAAAATATTACCTACCTATAAAATAATGTAAAATGTTGTATAATGTAATAAACAGTTTTTTTAGCTGAACATTAATTGATATATTATGATCTTCAAGATATTGTCAACAAGAATACATTTTTAAAGTGGACACTAAACCTTACCACAAAAATTATTTAAAAATAAGTGTAAACAAAATTTACTTCACCCCTTCTCTGCTAAGTGCTCGCGCCTATCTCGAGGGGCTAGCCGCACTGTTTGGGTACTCTGCACTATATTAAATGTATAGTGTCTTTGATTGACCAAAATAAATTCGTTTTTAATTTACCCACCGAGTTTCCCCTATTCACCATGCAATAATATACCACTATAATAACAAGTATATAGGCACTTAAATAATGCGGACCACTGTATTCCACCCGCCAAATCCACGTGAACAACACACGGTCGAGGCGTGTCGTTAAGGGTGTGCCACCGCATCGCATGTGCACACACGCAACCACAAAAGTGTTCACAAACGGTCCGGACGCCCTTGAAAAACAAACACACACACTGACAGGAAACGAGTGCGTGTGAGTGTGTAAACATCGGAATTATGCCGTACGTTTGTTAATGTGCATAGCTATTGGGTTGTCACCTATTCCCGTAGTGTATATACGCACTCAAGTGGGGCATGTGTGTGTCGAAAATTACGGGTGTATATGTACGGCGGCGAAAAGGGTCAAAGACGATATAATAATAACAATACCGACCAGAGGAGCCGTACCTAATACTCGACTGCTTCTTCGCCACCGTCGTCGAAATATCTGTGCGAAAGAAAAACCTTCTCGACGTTGGTCGTTTTTTTTTTCTGTTTTTTCTCTAACGACCAAAACTTTTTATCCGTCACGAGAGAGTGACAGCCATCGTCCGTTGTTCACCTACACAATATATATATATTATGGCCGTTTTATGGTGCAGGTGGCTTTCGTAGATGGAGCACTCAGTAGGTATACACTATACATAATATTATTGTATTAATCGCGCGCAAACGATAAATACGGTTTTCTCGTTTGATTGATTGCCACGCGTCCACACAACTCTACGATACAATACGCCATAGTATATGTATTTGTGTCTATAGGAGAAAAAAAAGTATTAAATAGGATTGAGGAGACGACCGTCGTTGACGTCAGCCACAGTTTATGCGAGCACCCAGTAATCCCGCTGAAGACACAGCCGTCGCT